AAAAAAAAAAGAAGAAGAAGAAGAAGAACAGCATTCAGGTCCTCATTCACAAAGGAAACTGGTTAAGAAAGTCACAGCACGCCCTAGAAAAAGATTGTGATTGGCCAAAATCCTCTTCACAAGTACTGCATATATTTAATAGTAATCATGGTGAAAGTTGACATAGTTTTTGCAAGAAATCATGTGAGTGGTAGGAAGCATCATAGCACTATGTAGTGCTGTACATCTTAGCCTGCATCACCCAGATACCATGCTTATTTGGCATTTTGTTTTCTAAAAGGATGTTTAAGACAAATACAAATCAGTGAAGAATGGAGTTTACTTTCTCTGTGACCCATAGTCTGTGCAGCCTATAGTCTATTCACGTTAGAAGAACTGAGAGTTCAGTTCCAAAGAACTTCCTTTGAGTGTTGAATGTATTCGAATGTTTGCTACATCATGAGTAATCAAGTGAATGAAGTAATAATAGTAGTAGCACTACCTCATACTCATGCAACACTTACCAGGAGCCAGACTGTTCTAAGCATTCACATATATAAACTAGTTTCTCAAACAACACTGTGAGGTAGATACTACTGGATTTCATAGATTATAAGATGTACATTTTAACAGCTCTCAGGGCTATGTCTTATGATATGGCACCGTACAGTTATAATTGCCAGCATTTTTTCTTGGAGTCTATAAAATAAGATTGAAAACAGTGATGTCTTAAATTTGACTTTATTTTAAAAAGCGACATCCAAATTTATAAATGAAGAAGCTGAAATGCAGGGAGGTTAAGTGGCTTGCCCCAGGTCGTGCAGTCAGGAATAGCATAGAGTTAAAATCCAGGAGGTCTGCCTTTGTATTCTCGTGGTATCTAATGTACAAGTTCATTGTGTGCTTTGGAGTTGGATTTCTCAGACCTGGTTCTACTTAAGTGTGACTCTGAGCAAGTTAACGTAATTTCTTTGTGTATCAGATTCCTCATCTGTAGGACAAGAATAATAATGATACTAACTTCATAGGTTTAGGTAAGGATTAAATGAGAAAATATGTAAAGTCCTGAAAGCGGTATTTGGCACATTGTGAACACTGAGTAAAATGTTAGTGGTAGTAGTGTGGTGGTGGTATTTAGGAAACATTGTCTAAGAAGCACAGAATAGAATAATCTGAAAATAAGGGAAGAAGGTTTTTCCCAATTTCTCAAGCATCACTATAGAATGCCTGCAGCCAGGTGCAGTGGCTCACTGCAGTAATCTCAGCACTTTGGGAGGGCGAGGCAGACAGATCACTTGAGCTCAGGCGTTCAAGACCAGTCTGGACAACACGGTGAAACCCCGTCTCTATGGAAAAAAGAAAAAAAAAATTAGCTGGGTATGGTGGTGCATGCCTGTGGTATAGTTGTGCTACTTGGGAAGTTGAGGTGGGAGAATTGCTTGATTCCGGGAGGTTGAGGCTGCAGCGAGCCATGATCATGCCACTGCACTCCAGCCTGGGTGTCAGGGAAAAACAAAAAAAAAAGACCTGCAAAACCAAGTGTACTTTGCTGATTTGCCATTCTAATATCCCTTTAATTTTCTCATTTTCTCTTATTGTAAAATATAGTCATCCCTCAGTATGGGGTGGGGGGGATTGGTTCCAGGACCCCTTGTGGATACCAGCATCCATGGATGTTCAAGTCTCTTCTATAAAATGGTGTGGTATTTGCAGATAGCCTATGCACATCCTCCCATGTACGTTAAGTCATCTCTAGATTATTTTTAATAGCTAATACAGTGTAATTGGTAGGTAAATAGTTGTTATTCTGCATTTTAAATTTTGTTTTACTTTTTGTTGTGGCATTTTTTTGGTTTTTGATTTTTTTTTTTTTTTGAGACAGGGTCTTACTCTGTCATCCAGGCTAGAGTACAGTGATGTAATCGTGGCTCACTGCAGCCTTGAATTCCTGGGCTCAAGTGATCTTCCTGAGTGGCTAGGACTACAGGTGCACACTACTACACCCGGCCAATTTTTTTTTTCTATTCTTTATAGATATGGGGTCTCACTATGTTGCCTGGGCTGGTATTGAACTCCTAGCCTCAAGCAATCCTCCTGCCTCAGCTTCCCAAAGTGCTGGGTTTACAGGTATGAGCCACTGCACCTGGCTGTTTTGGGGGTTTTGAAAGATATTTTTTATTTGCAGTTAGTTGAGTCTGTGGATACAGAGGGCTGACTGTACTTATGTTCCTATAGCTTCAACAGCTCTTAATAATTTCAAAGGAGAGACATTTTTAAGGTAGCAAATTAGTGAACCTAAATCTTACAGATTTCCTTTTGTTTGTTGATTTTATAAGAAAACATTTCTTCCAGTAGATTAATGAGATAACATTTTTTTAATATTTACACTGTTCCATGCAGTTATAAGTACTTCACATTTAACCCTCATAGCAACTTTATAAGGAATGTATCATTGTTAACTCCATTTTATAGATGAGGAAACTGAGGTAAGAAGTACTTTGCTCAGACTTACATGACTAGGAAGAGCAGAACCATGGTACTTTAAAGTTGATGACACTTTCACAATGGATAACTTACCTCTCAATGCAAAATTTATGCTCGAGGTCTGACTTCCGGTAATTTCTGGCACATTTGGGTTTTAAAAAACAGTTGGCAGGACCCTTGATATGATGCAATAAGAATAGCACTCTCTTGTTATCTTCCTCCCAAGAACCAATAACCCTGGTTTAATCATGAGAAAAACATCTGACAAATCCCAGTTGAGAGACATTCAACAAACTGCCTGCCAGCAGTCCTCAAAACTATCAAGGTCATCAAAAACAAGGAAAGTCTGAGAACTACCATGGCCAACTCGAGGCTAAAGAGACATGACGAAACTCAATGTCATGTGGCAACCTGGATGGGATCCTGGAACAGAAAAAGGATATCAGGCAAAAAGCAAGCACATTTGAATAAAGTTTGGACCTTAGTTGCTAATACTGTATCAATATTGGTTCATTAATTGTGATTCGTGTACCATAGTAGTAGAAGATGTTAACAATAGGGAAAACTAGATACGGGGTAAACAAGAACTTTCTGTACTATCCTTATAATGTTATTATTTCTTTTTCATTTTCTCTTATCCAGGGAGCAGATTTTAAGAGTAAAAGAAGATGAGAATGTTCCCTTTCTACTGGTTGGTAACAAATCAGATTTAGAAGATAAAAGGCAGGTTTCTGTAGAAGAGGCAAAAAACAGAGCTGAGCAGTGGAATGTTAACTACGTGGAAACATCTGCTAAAACACGAGCTAATGTTGACAAGGTAACACGTGACTCTCTTTACTACTGCATCATGTTAAAATAGGTTGGTTTGCTTTAACTTGGCTCTCTTTTGTCTGGAGAGTCTATGAAACTTTCAAATAGAGATGTAAAGTATGTTGATTTTTATCATCCCTGAATGCTCAGATACATGTTAGGAATTTTAGTTCACCTTCTCCTTAGCTTCCCAAGAGACGTTAAAACACAAGACACTGCAGCTAAATGTACCTTTTTTTTTTTTTTTTTTTAGCACTGATGGCATTCTTGACCTTTTTCCCCCCTTATCCTATTGAGTCTTTGAATAATTTAGAAGGAATTGTGTGAGTCCCAAGATTCCAGCACTGAGCGTTCTTACCTCTGACCTGACGCCTACCCAACCCCACTTAAGTTCTTAAAAATAAGGATACCACCCAAGATGAAGAAGCCCCCAGATAAGATCGTTTTAAAATCTCTCCTGCCACTCTCCACTCCCCACCCTCAACTTTTGTTTTCTCCTGAAAGAGAAAGAAAGAAAAGGAAACCCTCTGCCCTCCTTTCTTGTCTTCTCACTTTGTTCAGAGTGGCCCTTCCTGAAGACCAGATGTGGAACACCCGCAAGTACATTTCATCCCACTACCCTAGACCAGGTCCAGTATCTAGAAAGACTGTCCACTGGGCTGAGGTAGCACAGGATCTTAAAGGCCTCCAAGTGTGGTCTCTCTTTATCCTGCAAGTATCTAGGCTCTACAGTAGTGCCACTCAAGCTCTAATAGGCAAAAGAACTGCCAGTAAATCTTGATAAACACACATTCTTGTGTCTTATCCCCAGAGATTTGGATTCATTTGGTCTGGAATGGGGCCTGAGAATTTACACTTGTAGCAAGTGCTGCGTGTGCCTGTAGATTTATAACCCTGATCCAGAAAGTACTAGGTTAAAAAAAAAGTTCAAGATTTGCTCTGTCATTTTGCTGTAGGTCTTAAGACAGTGTCATTGCTGTCTTAAACTTACTAACTTTTTAGCACATTGTCAGATTCCTTTAGGTCTAACATATCTGTACAAAGTGAGTACTACAGATTTTTATTCAGGATACTAGTTTTTTCTAAGGTTGGGGCTAGAGCAAGTGTGTGTGTGTGTGTGTGTGTGTGTGTGTGTGTGTTTTGCTTAAATAACAAAGTTATTTCCCACAGTTCTGGAGGCTGGTAAGTCTAAGATCAAGGTCTTAGACAATATGATTCTGGAGAGGGCTTTCTTCCTGATTTGCAAGATTTCCTTATACCTTCCTGCTGTATCCTCACATGACAGAGAGAGAGAGATAGCTCTCCTCATTCTTAGAAGGATACTAATTCCATCATGAAAACCCTACCCTAGTGACAGAATTACCACCCAAAGGCCCCATCTCTTATTGTCATCACATAAGGAATTAGGGTTTCAGTATATGAATTTTGGGGTGACACAAGCATTCAGTCCATAGCATGCCCTTTCATAGTTTCCTGGAAACCACGGTTTCTGAACACAGTAAGTAGGGCTTGGGTATTTCAGTTAGCTTCCGTTTGGAAATGGGAACAAGAATACCTGCTTCATAGGATTATTGTAAAGATGAAATGAAATCACATATGTAAAATGCCCCAACCTGTGCCTGACCTATAGTAAGTCATTAGAAAATTATAGATTTGAAGAGACAATATGTAGGGCAAATGTTTTTAAAGTGCTAATGAAAATATATTTTAAAATTGAGGGTGTTTGAGGTTTTAAAAGGCAACATTGAACATTCTCATAGCATATATATACTTTCCTAATTGATGTCTCGAGTAGGTTGTAGAACACACTATAAAAACTACTTAAACCTAAGGGGAGTGGGGAAGACATGCAGACACTGGCAGTTCAAGATAGAAAGCTGTATTGTAACAGTCCTTGTGATCATCTGTTGGCATCAGAGGCCTGGGAAGTATGGTGTCTGCATTAGCACAGCTCTTACGGACAGTGAGAGAAAGACCAAAAACCTAGGAAAAATGGCCCAAAAACAGCAACAGGCATGTCGTAGAAAGGAAACACAAATGGCCTTTGAACTGGAAGAGAGGTTCGGTCTCTTATAAAAAGGGAAGTACAACTTAAAAATATAGTGGAATGTCCTTTTTTTACCCGTCACTTTGGGAGAAAAAAAGCGAAGAGGTTGAGACTAGAATATACTGTCGGCAAGAGTATAGAAAAATAGGAACCTCTCATTTTGATGGAAGGACAGTTTTGTGATATCCATCAGAATTATGACCCAACAATTTAAGTGCTAAAAATGTATTATACAGAACAAATTATGCACTCACGTATACATGTATGTTCAGTAGTAGTCAGTGAAGCATTAGTTTTAGAAGCAAAAGACTGGAAATATCCAAGTGTTCAATAATGGACTGGTTTAAATAATGGAGTATTGCCCAACCATTGAAAAGAAATGAAGATAGAACTAAATGTGCTGATATCAAATGATCTTCAATTGTAAAGTAAGTGAAACAAAGTACAGAGTGGGGTCTGTAGCTTGCTGCCATGTGTTTTAAACACACATACATACACATTATCTATGTACACATCATAAGGATATGTAAGACTCTGGTACCTGTGGTTGTCTCCAGAGAATTAAGTCACAGTTTATGCACTTTTCACTGTAAATACCCTTGTGAACTTTTTGCCATATTCATGGACACTTGGCCCTCAACACCGATTTCAGCTGCGCAGATTTTTTTTCACACATGCAGGCTGCCCTCCATGTCATTGGGCTCTGCGTCTACAACTAGATACAGACAGAATACAGCAGGATGTGAAACCTGCATATGCGGAGGGTTGGCTTTTTGTATCCATGGGTTCCGCAGGGCCAGCTGCGGGACTTGAGTAGGTACAGATTTTGGTATCCGCAGGCATCCTGGAACCAATCCCCCACAGATACTGAGGTACGACTGTATCACTTTTTCAAAAAAATAAAAGTATAAGACTGTTTTAGTTACTATGGCTGTATAACAAAGTACACCCCAAAACCTTTCTGGGTAAAACAGTCTTTTATTCTGCTTATACATTCTGTGGCCAAGAATTTGAACAGGGCACAGTGGAAATGGCTTGGCTCTGCTCTACAGTGTCTGCTGCCTCAGCTGAAAGCTTCAAGTCTAGGCACTGGAAATACCTAAAGTTAGGTTCTGAAGGCTTGTTCGCACATGTCTGGCTCAGCCAGATAATGCTGGCTGTTATCCAAGGATGCCTCAGTTCCTCTCCAGGTGGGCTTCTCCATGTGGCCTTTTCCACATGTGCTAGTTTAGGCTTCCTCACAGCACAGTGGGCAGAGTCTCCAAGGGCAAGTGTCACAAGAGAAGAAGAACCAGGCAAAAACCATACAGCCTTTTATGACATGGTCTCTGAAGTTACGCAGCATTATTTCTACCTCATTCTACAGGTTGGAGGTAGTCACAAAGTCTCACCTAGGTTGAGAAGGAAGGGCAGTAGACTTCACCTCTTGATGAAGAGTGGCAGGATTCTGAAAAAGCACATAGGAAGCATTGCTGTGGCCAGTTTCAGATACTACAGTCTGCAGTCAGTGGTCACCTGTCCAAAACAGAATTACATTAAACGAGGCTGCTTGTAAAGCGAGGTGGAAATCCATACTGAAGAATGTAATTTCGTGTACTGCTACATCCTGCGGAGTGGCTACCAGATAAAGTACCTCAGTGGCTACGTAAAAGTCATTTGCAGCAACTATTCAATTTCCGGGATTAGGTTATACTTGTCTTCGTGGTGGTTCTCCTGAGAAAATAATCTAATAATCAGAAAAGCTAATATTTGTTTGTACTTATAAGAGCCAGGCACTGTGATAAGTACCAACCATTTAATCCTTAATTATGTGAGGCATAAATACTCTTCCGATGCTCACTTTTTAGATGAGGAAGCTGAGGTATGGGAAGATTACATAACTGGCTCAAGGTCACGGGGTTTGTGGTGGCATCTGCAGCCTCTGGGTCTGGCCAACTCTAGTTATATCATGCTCACATTCTTTCCTCACTGTTTTACTCAGAAAAATGGTTGGGGCCAGGTGCGGTGGCTCACACCTATAATCCCTGCACTCTGGTAGGCTGAGGCAGGCAGAATCCTTGAGCCCAGGAGTTCGAGACCAGCCTGGGCAACATGGCAAAACCCTATCTCTACAAAAAATACAAAAATTAGCCAGGTGTGGTGGCGAATGTCTCTGTAGTCCCAGTTACTTGGGAGACTGAGACAGGAGGATTGCTTGACCCTGGGAGGCGGAGGCTACAGTGAGCTGAGATCACACCACTACCCTCCAGCCTGGGTAATGGAGCTAGACCCTATCTCAAAAACAAAACAAAACAGTGATTGGAATAGCTAGTGTATCTCCCATTTCTTATGTCATCCACTACTAGAAGCCTGATCACAAATTTTCAGGAATAGGAAGTGTTACTCCCTTTTATTAAATTGTGACGTGTCGTGCTTTGTCGCAGAACAAATGCTAGCTCTCCGTAAGATCATTGGCTCATGCCTTATCCTCATCTGGATGCCAAATAGACCATTAGGTGGAAGTTTCAAAGATGCAGATTTAAAATCTACTTATGAAAAAGTATCATAGCCACCAGAGATGGGGCATGGCATATCTCAGGAGGCCATGCTTGTCACAGAGGAATCACCCCAAGGCTCGAGGAACATCTGGGCAAACCTGCTTGTGTACTCATTGGATTCATTCAATGACCTTGTTAGTATCCTAGCTAAATGCTCTGGTTCTTAATTCATGACTCCAGGGTTGCTCTTGATTTTAAGGAACATTCTGGCAGAACAGAAAGAAGTTGAGCAAATATTAACAGATGTCCAAAGGGGGAGTGTGATTTATTATGTCAAGAGAATCAGTTTTATGTTGAGGGAAGAATGTTGGTAGAAATACACTGTATTTTTTGGAAAAGATATTTGGGTTTTTTCATTGTACAAGTAATACATGGATACATGCTTATTATATAAAGAAAAATTCATAATACAGAAACATAAGGAGGAAAAATGAGTCACTTTTCTCCCATATTTCATTCCCTTCCCCTGCCTTTCAGTAGCCAGTGCTAACACGGGTGTGTCTTTCCAGACGTTAAAAGCAGGCATACACATCTCTAAGGGAAAGTTTGCATTTGCTTGTTTTTCCCCTGTATTAATAGGATTTGTGCATATTTATACACACACATATTTTATATCTGTATATATAGTGCATATTTCTGTGGTGTGCTTTTAAAATTTTATGACAAATCTTATAACTCTTCCATGTCACCGCATATAGATGTATCCACATTCCTTTCAAAACCACAAAGTATTCCATGGTTAGACTTTTCCATAATACAGCTGTTTTTCTATTAATGACATTTGTTTGTTACAGCACTGTTCACAATAGCCAAGATACGGAACTAACCCAAGTGCCAACAACAGATGAATGGATAAAGAAAATATGATATATACACACTATAGAATACTATTCAACCATTGAAAAGGATGAAATCCTGTCATTCAAGGCAATATGGATAGAACTGGAGAAAATTAAGTGAAATAAGCCAGGAACAGGCAGTTAAACACTGCATGTTCTCATTCATATGTAAAAGCTTAGAAAAGTTGATCTCACAGAAGTAAAAAATAGAACAGAATACTAGAGGCGGGAATGGGAGGGATAGGTAGAGATTTGTTAAATTATACAGAATTACAGCTAGATATGAGGAATGAGCTCTGGTGTACTACACTACTGTAGATGACTATACTTAACAATAATATATAGTTTCAAATAACCTGAAAGGAGGATAATGAATGTTCCCAACACAAATAATAAATGATTGAGATGATGGCTGTGCTAATTACCCTGGTCTTATCACTGTACATTATATGTATCAAAACATCACGGTATACTCTGTGAATATGTGTCAGTTAAACAGACAAAATTCAATTGAAAATAAAATCAGAAATTAAACCTTCATCCAGTTTCCTTTTCATAGTGATTTATCTGCATTAGAAAGCAATACTGGGAGTATTCCAATGATTACATTTAGTTAGAATTGAGACCTCCTGTCCTAGCTAGTTAACCAGAGACTTGAAAAAGAGGTCTTCTGAAATTCCTAGTCTCTGGGGAAATAGAGTCACAACCAGTCGGGGCAGGAATTCATGGGTTTTATGTCATCATTGTGTTTCATTCTGTTGCGTACTCTGTGTGTGTGTGTGTTTTATGCTCAGTTTTTCCCTTTAACCATTTATGCTCCTTCATGTTGGTCGTATGTCCATTTGACTCAGTCCATTCATCTCTGGTAGTTTCCTTGCTTTCTGACTTAAATTTTATGCTTCTTGCTGCAGATCAGAAATCAGCCATTCATCTGAGGAACTCAGGTTCTGTTTAGGAGGAATGGTTTCTAGCAGCCACAGCATAGTTACTTAATTTGCTTGCTGGTATTGTGTTGTCATTTTTTAGTGAATAGTGCTAGGAAATAGGTATTATTAAAAGAAAAAAAATGTGATCATGTTGTTATTTCCAATTCAAATTTAACATTATAAATGTTTACATCTTTGATTTTGTATTTATATCTTTTCTCTTACACTGAAAATCTTGGTTCCTAAATTATATTAACATAGTTCCTCCCTTGCATTAGTCTTCAGTGTATATAAAATAGTTCCAAAAGAGCAACATTGCTGTCACAAACAAACTACAAAATGAAGTTTGGCTGGGTGTGGTGGCTCACGTCTGTAATCCCAGCACATTCAGAGGCTGAGGCAGGCAGGTCACCTGAGGTCAGGAGTTTGAGACCAGCCTGGCCAACATGGCAAAACCCTGTCTCTACCAAAAATACGAAAATTAGCCGGGCATGGTGGCACACATCTGTAATCCCAACTACTCGGGAGGCTGAGGCAGAAGAATCTCTTGAACCCAGGGGGCGGAGATTGCAGTGAGCTGAGATTGCGTCATCGCACTCCAACCTGGGCAACAGAGAGTCTCTCAAAAAAAAAAAGTTTAAGATTTGTCTTTGTATTGTTTTGTTGGAATTTTGTTTCTATTTTTATCCCTAGCATCTATTCTAAAATAGGTACTTTCTATGCTATGTCTTGTAGACCTTTGAAATAATTCCTCTGTCACCATCTTGGAATATAGTCAGTCTTACTTGTTTGTGTTTTTTGTTTGTTTGTTTGTTTGTTTGTTTGTTTTTTGAAACGGAATCTCACTCTGTTGCCCAGGCTGGAGTTTAGTGGCATGATCTCAGCTCACTGCAACCTTCACCTCCTGAATTCAAGTGATCTGCCTCAGCCTCTCTAGTAGCTGGGATTACAGGCATATGCTACCATACCTGGCTAATTTTTTGTATTTTTAGAAGAGATGAGGTTTCTGTATGTTGGCCAGGCTGGTGTTGAACTCCTGACCTCAGGTGATCTACCCACCTCAGCCTCCCAGAGTGCCGGATTTTAGGCGTGAGCCACCATGCCCGGCTAGTCTTACTTGTTTAAATTTGATTTTCAATTTTTAGGATTTGCTATTTTATTTTTTTATTTGTTTTTTTGAGACTAAGTCTTGCTCTGTCACCCAGGCAGGAATGCAGTGGCACGATCTTGGCTCAGTGCAACCTCCACCTCCCGGGTTCAAGCAATTCTTGTGCCTCAGCCTCCCGAGTAGCTGGGATTACAGGTGCCCTCCACCACACCCAGCTAATTTTTGTATTTTTAGTAGAGATAGTGTTTTGCCATGTTGGCCAGGGTATTCTAGAACTCCTGACCTCAGGTGATCTGCCCACCTCGGCCTCCTAGAGTGCTGAGATTACAGGCGTGAGTCACTGCCCCAGCCTAATTTTATTTTTGAGTATGTAAACCACCTGTGTCTCTAAAGTAGAAATTCTATAACAAGATATACTCAGAGATGCCTCACTCTTCCTTGTACCCTCCTCCCTTCTTCTTGAAAATAAAATTGATTATTAGGGTTTGGTTTATTATTTCATTGTTCTTTGTCCAAGGGCAAACAAATACAGGTGTACTCCTACCCTACACACATGCACACAGGTAGTGCTCTATCTGCTATTCTGTATGTTGCTTTTTTCAGAGATGTGTTAGGAAAGGCCACATCAGTCATGACATACGCACACTTTACTCACAGCACTCGTTATCGCTTTCATATTTCTTGCTTATCTTTAGTCTTACTGGGTTTTGTAATTCTATAAGTAAAAACTTATTTTTTAAATCCAGAATTCAAAAGTGATCATAAAAGTTATTCCTCCTTTTATCATATACTCTCAGCTGTTTATGTGGAGTGTGAGTGTGCAGCCTTCCAGACCCTTCTGTGTTACAGAACAGAGGAATTTCTTATTGAAATTTAACTTTGAATTGTTATACTCATAATTTTTTTAGTTACTATGCTAATATCTCATTATTTACCAGTTCCTAGACATCAGACAAAAACTGATAAATTCGCACATAAAGAGTAACAGACAAAGTTGTTTCATAGTGCCTGGTATCAAGATGATAAAGCATACACCCATCTCTTCAGCTTCATTTCTAAAAATGGAGCTTTTTCTCCATTTTTAGAAATGAAGCTGAGGAAACTAAGTTATGAAATACCAAATTATTAAATATAAAGTTAAGCATATATTGTTAAATATAAATTAATAAAATACATTTATTGATTATTAAACTACTTCAGTATAATCCATTGAGTTTTATCTTTGGGGCTATCGTCACCTTGTAGCACTTGATAGATTTTCGTCTCAAAAACTGGAACAGAAAGATCAGGTTTTATTACATATGAACATTTTTACCATAAAGTGTAATTCAGAAAACTTCCTAGTTTCCTCCTTTTTTCAAGATACTGGGAGAATCAGGCTTTAGTTGTGTGCTTTCCGCTCTCTACTCCAAACAAGAGCTCTTAAATATTTATACTTCTGTTATCCCCAAAGTTTACTGCTGTGATTTGGAGAAGTACTAAGTTCATATATCTGTTTGCTTTATTGATCCTATTTTTTTTCTTTCTAGGTATTTTTTGATTTAATGAGAGAAATTCGAGCGAGAAAGATGGAAGACAGCAAAGAAAAGAATGGAAAAAAGAAGAGGAAAAGTTTAGCCAAGAGAATCAGAGAAAGATGCTGCATTTTATAATCAAAGCCCAAACTCCTTTCTTATCTTGACCATACTAATAAATATAATTTATAAGCATTGCCATTGAAGGCTTAATTGACTGAAATTACTTTAACATTTTGGAAATTGTTGTATATCACTAAAAGCATGAATTGGAACTGCAATGAAAGTCAAATTTACTTAAAAAAGAAATTAATGTGGCTTCACCAAGAAGCAAAGTTCAACTTATTTCATAATTGCCTACATTTATCATGGTCCTGAATGTAGCGTGTGAGCTTGTGTTTCTCGGCAGTCTTTCTTGAAATATTAAATAAAGAGGTGAGATGGGGGTGGGGAGTGGGAGGAAAGGCGACTTCCTCTGGTGTTTATTATAAAGCTTAAATTTTATATCATTTTAAAATGTCTTGGTCTTCTGCCTTGAAAAATGACAATTGTGAACATGATAGTTAAACTGTACCACTTTTTTTTAACCATTATTATGCAAAATTTAGAAGAAAAGTTATTGGCATGGTTGTTGCATATAGTTAAACTGAGAGTAATTCATCTGTGAATCTGCTTTAGTTACCTGGTGAGTAACTTAGAAAAGTGGTGTAAACTTGTACATGGAATTTTTTGAATATGCCTTAATTTAGAAACTGAAAAATACCCGGTTATATCATTCTGGGTGTGTTACTGACACCAGGGGTCCACTGCCCCGTGTGTACTGGTGAGAAAATATATGCCTAGCATGGAGTACAGCTTTTGTATAGAAAATTCTTGAGAAGTAACTGTCTGCTAGGAGTCTGTCCAAATTTAAAATGTGTGCCATACTCTGGTTCTTGAAAATAAGATTCCAGAGCTCTTTGATCGCTTTTAATAAACTGCAAGGTCATTTTAAGTGAAGGGCCAGCCTATACTTGTAAGATAATTTTCAACTGCGAGGATTCAGCACGTTATGTTTGAATGAACCCTCCTCTTCTTGAAGATGCTGGTCCCTGGAAATCACTTTCTGCCAGTGGTGAGCATGTAAGTGTTAAGTTTTTAATCTGGGAGCAGTGGCTGGAAGAAAATGTCAGTAGTGCTAATGCATTTTGCACTAGAACACTTCGGGAAAATATTCATGCTTGCCATCTGTTCATTTCTAAATTTATACTCATGAAGTTACAATTTGATACAGGAATTATTAGTAGTAATTCTTGTCTGTTCGTGTGTAATGAAGAACACTAGCTACATTTTCAGAAGTTAACATCAAGCCGTCAAACCTGGGTATAGTGCAGAAAACGTGTGGCACACACTGACCACACATTAGGCTGTGTCACCATTGTGTGGTGCTCCTGCTGGAAGAATTCTGGCACACTACTTGGGGACATAATTTCAGTCGGAAATACGCCACTGTCAGATTTTTTTCCCCCCTCTTTGCAGTGGGGCTAGGACAGTTGATTCAACAAAGTATTTTTTTCTTTTTTCTCAGTCCTAATTTCAACAGGTCAAAGATGTGTTCAGGCATTCCAGGTAACAGGTGTGTACGTAAAGTTAGGAACTCACTCTTTAGATATTACATCCAGCTTCTCATGTTAAATATTTGTCCTTATAAAGGGTTTGAGATGTACATCTTTCATTTCGTATTTCTCATAGGCTGTGCCATGTGCGGAATTCAAGTTACCAATGTAACACTGGCCAGCGGGCCCAGCAATCTCCATGTGTACTCATTGCAGTCTTATTTAACCAGGGGTCCTAACCACTAACATTGTGACTTTTCTTTGAGACCTTTCCTCTCCTGGGTACTGAGGTGCTATGAAGCCAACTGACAAAGATGCATCACGTGTCTTAGGCTGATGCCACTACCCGATTTGTTTATTTGCAATTTGAGCCATTTAAAGACCAATAAACTTCCTTTTTTAAAATGTTTGTGGTGGTACTTGATGTTTACAATATAACATGTAATATTCAAATGTATCAACGCGGGTGTTTTTACCAAACAACTACATCTTTTGAGCTCTCAGTTCGGAGACTTCTTTTGTGTAATGCCAGATTTCCTAAATAATAGTGTCAGCATTGCTAAGATTTAATCAAGGCTCAGAAATGGAGGGACTCGTGTACAACTGCATGGAAGATGTTCTATGCGGCCATGAAATGACAAATGTGTACATTACTTTTAGAATGCTCCAAACTCTAGAATGAATAGGTGACAGTTTTATATTCATTTTCTGATCAGAATGACCCCCAGAGACAATTCACAAATTGTGGGAGGAATGACACCCTGTACCATTTCACCAAGCTTTGGGCCAACGTTTGATGTCTGGAGGGAAGCGTGGCTTATTAACTATCGAATAGCCTGCAAGTTAGAAACAATCTGGCCCAATATTGAGCACAACCTTTCAAAATCCAGTTCATTTTAATTGCATAACTTTCATAAGCAGTGCTAGAATGAGCACGTTTAAGTTATAATTGGCATAATTTTAAATCTCATTGTGTGTACACATTCTTAACTCCAATATGGAGTATGATGTTAAATACTGTGCTCTGGTTGGGCAACGTGGCTCACACCTGTAATTCCAGCGCTTTGAGAGGCCAAGGCAGGAGGATTGCTTGAGCCCAGGAGTTTGAGACCAGCCTGGACAACATAGCCCCGTTTACAAAAAAAATTTAAAAATTAGCCAGACATGGTCTTGCTCACCTGAATGAGTTAGAAAGTCATGTCTCAAAATTTTGTGAGAACGTAAAAATTTGGCAACTTTGTATTACTACCTTAAGCTATCAAAGCATTTACTAAAATTTCTGTAGAGGTTTCAGAGTAATCCAGTGTTAGAAGTCTCCTTTAGGCGAAGTCTGTAATCTCAGCACTTTGGGAGGCTGTAGTGGGCAGATTGCTTGAGCCCAAGAGTTGAAGACTAGCCTGGGCAACATGGTGAGACCTCATCTCTACAAAAAAATCAAAAAATTAGCCAGGCATACTAACATGCGCCTGTAATCCCAGCTATGAGGGAGGCTGAGGCGGGAGGATCGATTGAGCCCAGGATTTTGAGGCAACAGTGAGCTATGATCAAGTCACTTCAATCCAGCCATCGGGAACAAAGTGAGACCACAACTGTATTTAAAAAACAAAAACCAAAAAAAAAAAAACCTCCTTTGGTGTCGGAAGTCAAGAATGGCAGGTCAGTAGAGGTCTTTGTGCCTTTAGTATTCAATAGATTTTGATGAACTGCCTGCTCTGGGTTCGGCTGGGAATATGCAGGTGAAGGACAAACAGGCATAAGGGACAATTGCAGAGATTCATACTGAAGAAAGTACCCCATGTATAAGGAGAGGAAGTGAAGTTTCAAAAAGATTAGAGTTTGTCTCATTCTCCTTATGCTGAACTAGGCCCCCTATTTCTTAATGATCGTCAATCCATATAATATTAGCAAACAGTACACCTGACATGCAAGATACTGTATTTTTGTATATCTAAATTTAATACTTAACCCAAAGAGGTAGATAGTGCCATTAACCCTTATTTTGCAGATGTTGGAACTGAGGCATAGAGAATTTGAATAACTCGCCCAAGGCCACAGAACTGGTCATTATTAACTGAGATTGGAAGCAAAGTAGTCTGGCTCTGAGTCCATGCTCTTATTAGTCACTGCACAGTGGAGAAGCAACAGAATGGAGCTCAGATTACAGTTAGTTATTGCCTATACGAAAGTAGGAAACACCCGAGATTTCCCCAGGGCTGCAGCCTGTTGAATGACTGAAAGCTTGCAGATGTTGCTGTGTGAATGGGAAAGAGGCTTCTTGTGCTTGCAGCCTGGTTGCTAAGAGGATCAAGAGCCAAGAGGCAAAACCTTGTGCAGAGCTCAGCTGTGGAGCCAGGCCTGACTCTGCTTTTTCCATAATATCAGTAAAAAGGCAGCATTCCTTTGGCAGCCCAGAGCTTTCCTCCCATATTTTTTTAACTGCAAAATTGTTTTAGTCCTCTACTCTAGCAGTTCTGCATGTAGCTACTGTAGACAATGCCTGTGGATGCATGGCAAATGGGGAGGAAGTGAGATTTGGTCATCTATTCTCGATCAGGACCCAGACACCATTGATGGGGATGGGGAGAGGGTGGAGGAACAGTTAACATCTGTTTAAGAGAGAATATGAGACACGTGAAATTTTGCAAGGCTAATCTGATAGAAAAACTGTCAGATATCTGATAAAAGGTTGCTCGCATCAAAAGCCCCAAGGAAAATAAGCAGAAAAGCATTTAGGTGCTTGCAAGCAGATAGTACCTAGAAAATATTCCTAAAGACAGTTTTTGTGCTTGTTGAATTGGAAGCAGGTATGAGAGCTAACTTCTGAGCCTCTGCTGACAGGTAACTCGTCTCTGAAGGATGTGAAGTGGATTTCAGGTTACAGCCCTGAGAGCTGCATCATCACATGCCAGCTATTTTATTTGTTTATGGACTGGTCTTTGTAAAGAATGCCAGATTGGGCTGGGCATGGTGGCTCCCACCTGTAATCCCAGCACTTTGGGAGGCCAAAGCAGGTGGATCACCGAAAGTCAGGAGTTTGAGACCAGCCTAGCCAACATGGTGAAACCCTGTCTTTACTAAAATTACAAAAATCAGTCGGGCGCGGTGGTGCACACCTGTAATCCCAGCTACTTGGGAGCCTGAGGCAAGAGAATTGCTTGAACCTGGGAGGTGGAGGTTGGCTGTGGGCAGAGATTGCGCCACTTCACTCCAGCCTGGGTGATAGAGCGAGACTCCATTTCAAAAACAACAACTACAAAAAAGAATGTCAAATTCAACGGATTCAATGGGTAGCTATTTAGATGGTTTTCCTAGAATCCTAGAAGTTGGCCTAAAAGGCGCCTTAAAAGCCGTTCCCTCAGTTTACAGATCAGAAGAAAGATACTTTGCACAAGATCACAGGAGTAACATAAGAACCAAAATTAGAATGCAGAGCTTCAATTAAAAAAGGAAAAAGAAAAAGAAAGGCGTGGTGGCTTATGCCTATGGAGGGTGAGATATGAGGATCGCTCGAGCCCAGGAGTTCCAGACTAGCCTGGGCAACAAAGTGAGACCCCATCGAAAAAAAAGCATCTGTCATCTTTGTCTTTTTTTTTTTTTTTTTTTTAGAGACAGGGTCTCACTCTGTTGCCCAGGCTGGAGTGCAGTAGCATGATCATAGCTCACTGCAGCCTCGACCTCCTGAACTCTAGTGATCCTCCTACTTCAGCCTCCTGAGTAGCTAAGACTAGAGGCGTAAGCCACCACATCCATCCGAGTCATCAGTCTTCTAATTCCATGCTCTTCCCACTTACCTTTCCAAGTTCTGGGTGGGGGCTGAGGGTGCTTATATGGAGACAGCACAATAGTCTGAGGGTTCCCAGAGCATGATGAACTGAAATTCAAATTTGGCCTCCATCCCTTCTCATTTGCCTTGAGGAACTTCCTTGAACCCTGGGTTCTTCGCTGTAAAACTCCTAGTCAGTGCCTAAATCCTGGGGTTATTGTGAGGATTTTACAAAGAGTAAGATATTTTTAGTACAGGGTATACATATTTTAAATGCAGAGAAAAGTTCTCCCTGTGGCTGGCCCCTGTTCTCTGTAAAAAGCAGTTTCTGTGTGACATTCTGCTTGGCACCAATTAAACCATTGACAATACCCCTCAAGTCCATGCTTTATGTTGGAAAGAAGAAACTGGGAGACTCCAGTTTAAGGAACCAGAGATTCAGGTTGCCACACCTTTGTATTCACTGAGTCTTAGCACTGAAAATACCCTCAGATGGCAAGTCATGGAAACAAGGAAGTGAAGTCTGCGGAGACCAGGAGGCCTGTGCAAGGTCATAGCTAGAAAGACTTAATCCTGCACTGCTGGCCGAGTTTTTCGTGTTCTTTCTACCCCAGTCTAGTATCTTTCATCAATATCTGGAGTTCCTGCCAAGGAGATGGGGGTATGGCGCATAAGGACACTAGAAGGAAGGACAGGTCAGAGATACCTGACTAGTTACAGAGAAGGCTCCTCTCTCAGCCTCACTGAAGGCCTGGAGCACTGGGGTAGAGGCAAACTCGAGAGACCATTAATGTGGAGATGAATATTCTCTTTGGCCGCTGATACGAAAGTTCTGACTTAGAGGAGGCCTTCAGTACACTTTTACTCATTGACTGAGAGACTGGAGAGATTGAATCATTCAACATTTTGACCCTTGATTTATAGAGAGCACATGGTTAAGCACTGATGAAGAATTTCATTCTCAAAGAATTTTTTAGAGCAACCCGAGATACCAGCTCCAAGAGTTTGTGGGGTTTGACTTTCAGGCCCCATTACATTGGATGTGAGCGAGGCTGCATTTTGGGAATTACGAAGTGGTTCACTGATTCAAACCACTAAACTAAAGCGGCCTGCCTTCACCTTGATTCTCTATTTTGGGGGTCAGCTGGCATCACCAAAGGCAAATCTTCTTGAAAGGGCCAATAGCATAAGTGGAGCATGGAGGTGAAGGGGCACAGACACCTGCATATACATCACATCTTGTGTCTCTCTTATCCTGCCCCCAGCACACCACACTCCCACAGTCCCAGAAAGAAAATACAGTATTTCTCAGGAAAGTGATAGTAAATGAGAATGATAATACATGATGAAATCAGCAAAACACATTGTGAAGCCTATGTCACGGTTGTATTTATTCTGAGACACATTAACATCAAGAGCTTGTATTAACACAGGATTTTTAAACAATAGAAAAAGGAAAACAGGAAAATGCTGAGCAGCAGCTGTAGCCTCTGGTGAAAAGGCTGGCCAGTAGCATATCTAAGTAATCCCCCTGTCCCACTGCATATCTGCCAAAGAGAGAAGGAAGCATTCAATTCCAGGAAATCAGCAACTGCTTTGTGAGTTTGCTCCACTGCTGGGAGGAGGCTTCAAATGAAGCACTGTCC